GTAATAAAGTTAAATCACTTCAGTTCTTTTGCATTTTGAATTTTAGTCTGTATTCGCATGCATGCATTCTATGAATTTGTTCAAGAGCATTGGTATATTATGTCATATTAAATTTTTTTGAATTAGATAGAAGATTATAAATTATTAATGCCATTGGTAGATTTAATTGGTTTTTTGGAGTGGTAATAGTATTGCAAACTTCAGTTTAAACAATAATGATCAATCAAGACCTTCCTCTCGCAGTAGTTCCTTAGCTAGTTCAGGAACTTACACATCAGCACCATCTACTGCAAGCTCTGTACCTTCAACCCCAGCATCAAGTGTTGTTACGGAATCTTCCACCGGTAACAAAAAAATGCTCAAAATTAAATTATTTAGTGGAAACAAAGATAATAAGGTTCGTGACTTTTTCAGAGTACACAAATAATTTAAAAACGATAGCTTTTAAAATGCATTTCTGTAAGAAACTTAACAATGCTTTCATGTTTATAATGAATTGAAATGTTAAATATTAACACCATTTTTAGTCTGCCCATAAAGAATCATAGAATTTAATCACAAATTCTTTTATTCAGTCTTTTGGTAGATTTTCTTTTTTAAAGAAGAAACTTCTGCTACCTTTTTTACTTTTCAAATTGTATTGCATTTAAGGAAGTAAGTCTGATTTAAAATGAAACTTTAAAAGAATGCTAATATTAAAATACGAAATTTCAATGAGAGAAATCGTTTACTCATAGCAAATTATAGTTACGATAGACAGAATTAAGACTTTACCCAAATAATATTAATTCAAAATGATATGAAAAGATCTTACATTTTAGTAAAAGTTTGCAGCTGAAAAAATATTACAGTATATAATTAATTTATTCACCATCGACTCTACTTATTTGTTCAACATTCTTATTGTTTTTGGAAATAAAATATACCTTTTTTTGAGTACTAATTTGTTTCGTATTTCTTATTTTTGGAAAAAAGTAAGATAACAGAGAGAATAAAAAGCCAACAAAATGATACTTTGAGTATTTTTTTGTTAGTCTCTGCAGAAGATATAGCAATAATTTAAGTTAAATTCAAGGATAAAAGCCAAAAATAACTAATAATATGATAACATTGTAGTTTTTATACAACACTGAAATCGAATAATTGATGTTTTTACAAAAGGTTGACATTTTTACATTCTTTTTTATGCTAACTTTTTTATTCAATTTTTTTCAGTTGGAGCCAACGAAATGATAAAATAAGAGAAATATGCAAAAATAAGGCATTAATTGCATTCAAATAGTACCAATTTATTTTAAGATTAAGTACCATTTTCTTAGCAAAATAAAAACATCACAACTCTTTACACTTTTCTGTCAGTAAAGTGATCTTTTTTTACTTTTTTTCAAGAAAAAGAGTCTTATAGACTATAAAATTTTTAAAATTCCATTTAAAGTTATTGAAAATTTCAAATTCACAACAAGCAATTTTGCACCAGTCTTATATTTCGCATTATTTTGGTTCCAAATCCGTCATTTTTGCAGAGATTTTGGTGAAATTTTTTGCACTTCTCAAATTTTAAAAGTAACAGTTTATAATAATACTAAAAAATTTTTGAATTGAAGAAGAATTTTTGTGAGCAAAAAATTATCATGAAATTAGTTATTCGTGTACTTGGAGTATAAAGTTAATGAATAATTTCTTTAACTTTGCATACACGAAAATTGGCTGTGTCTTTAAGTTTGAATTTGAATTGATAAATATATTTTTAAAGTGAAAATTTTCAATTCAACAAGGATTGCTATCAACGTATGCAAATTAATTATTTTTGAGAATTTATAGTGTGATAAAAATTTGTTTATTGCTATGAAAATTGTAAACTTTTAATGGAAATTTCTGTTTTATTTACAGGGTAAAATTTCTGCTCAAATTGTCAATGATAAATAATGATTGGTTTTGTGATTCAAACTGATGTTTTAGGGTAAAATAATCAATTCAGTAGGATCATCAAATGAAAACAACGAAGTGGTTGAACTAAAAAATGATAAATTCTCTGGGAATCAAAGCAAAAATGAAGCAGTAAAAGCTTCAGGACTTGTAAAACTGAAAAAAAATAACTGCACCAATAGTATAAGCAAGTCAACAAAACGAGTTCCCGTACAGACAATTGTAACTACAAAGGCAAATACACGTGATGCTATCAAAGTAATTATTATTTCCATAAAAATTAATTCAAAAAGTCTAAAAGTTTTTAATTTATTAAATTCACTTCAAAAATCAACAAAATATATAATTATATAACAACTTACTGATGTCATATTTATGCTTGAAATACAATATTATTTAATTCAACTGCGCTCATACTCGTCACTTTAGCTAAGCATTCTTCTAGTCTCATATTTTTTACAGTACTTTTTTATATTTTGCTATTTTAAGCATACATTTATTATTACCTTTTCTTTTCAAACAGTTAAATATCTGTTAGTAAAGTTTTACTTTTGCTGTCAGAAAATAAAATGATGGATTAAAAATAATGATTATTAGCTATAATTAATTGCATACTTATATTTTGATATTGTACAAAATGGTAGCAAAATTCTTCAATCGCTTAATATTAATACTCAAAATAAATAATAAATGAAAACAAAATTTATCAGACTGATTAAGTTTTAAGTAAAATATTATAGAAAATAAAAATTACTGCAACTTCTTTTTTTTACTTTTTTGCATGAATTGAGTCGAATATAAATCCGATAAGTGCAATTATATTATGTTGCAGCAGTATATCCCATAGAGCAGAAAGATTTATTTTCCTCATTTCACAAATAATGAAGTATCTTTGCTTGGCAAAGCTAACTATTGAGAAAATGCTTGAAACAGCCACTTTAAACCAAAATATATTCTATCAACCACATATTATTTTCTGAATTACACATTTCTGAAAGAGTTAAGCAAAAATGGATGCTTGTTTATGACAAATTTTGCATTTTTCATACTTTTTTTTTGATTTCATTTGTAAATACCAAAGCGATTTGTAGCAAAAAATCAACTTTTAGACAAAACTTTGCAATGTTATTTGTTTTTCGTTTTTGTTAGCAAGCAGGGGTGAAAAAAAATCAAATATAAATTAAATAAATAACAAAGTCCAAAATGATTTTTTAGTACTTGCTTTCACATGCATCAACATTAACACCTTTACATTTGTTTACTTGTTCATTTATATAATATTCTTAATTAATTAAATTATACTAAATTGATTTTTTACTTTAATACCGAACAAATATTATCTTTGAAAAGAAATTATGTGCAAATTTTATAATTTTTCAAAATTTTGATTAATGTTTAATATTTGGACTAAAAAACCATGTACACAATACAAGATTGAATTCATAGCATATAGAGTAATTTATACATTTGAAATAATTGCAAAATGAATTTTGGTTCTAAATTGAAAGCAATCAAGGAGAAAAAAAAAGTTTTCATAATATTTGCAAAAGTTTGCGGTTTAGTCTAATTTGAACAATAAATAATCTTGATAAATAAGCAACGGATAAGTTATGTGTTGAAACAGTACTAATAATCTATCTCTATCATTTAACTAAAATACACTTTTATAACAATTTAATTTGAATAGTATTTATTCAACTGCACAGTACTGTTTATCTGTTGATTTTCAAGCATATAATATTCAAAAAATTTATAAAATTATCATATTATGCATGACCTTTTTTTTCAGCTAAAGCTCACTTGCAGTGTTAACTTGTCAAATTAAATAATCATTTTTTATCATTCGTAATGACATTATTAATTTAAAATTTTTTCATTTCCCATTTTGGTGACGAAAATACTTCAAAATTTTACAGGTTTTTGAGTTTTAAGAGCAAAGAAGTACAAATGATGACAGTAACAAATATGACTGACTGCAGTAGAGAGATTTTTTCAGTTTTCTTCCTTATCGATATGTTCGAATCGTAATATAATCAAAGATTTGACTTGTCACAGTCACAATTACGTATTTTTTGCCATATCACAATAATTAGTTAGTTGCAAAGGAATATTGCAATAAAAGTCATCTCAGTAATGTAAAGTAAAATGTGTAAAGGTGAAAAGAAAGCAAAAGTGATGACTATCTTGTTAAGAATTAGTTTAATTTTATTGACATCTTGCGTGCTTTCTTCCATCTTTAGCTTAACTTTGTAGCCTTCAAGTATTAGCCAACAAAGCCTGTTAAAAGCATATTCTAAACTATTGCTAAGTTTACCTTCACGTTAGCATTCATTTATTTATGCTATTTTACTTTTTTGTTTAAAATACTTCGCCATAATTTTGAGTAATTTTCTCTTTTATCAAATAAGAACGGATTTGTTTCAAAAGTTTGAAGAATTTTTATTAACATTTTTAAATTTGTATTTTGCTTACAAACAACTTACTGTCATATAAAAGTTATTTGAATTCTTTGCATTTATGGATTCAATAGAAAGCATTTACAGATACTAAATATTCCAACAATTTGATTACTTTTCATGAAAAATTTAACGTTATTATTTTTTATTTAAGCAAAAAAATGTTAGTATTTTTATTAAAAAATTATCTTTTAATCATTGTTATCACTGGCGAAATGAGTGAGCATTAAAAATTTGATTATAAGTAATTCACTATCACATACATCATCGTAAAGCCTATACAGGCATTTTAAGGCAATTATATATTGTTGTCCGCATGTACTAATTTTTTCATTTTTTTTTTGTTTTTGATTTCTCGTTAGTATTTATTACTTTATATCAAATATGTATATTTTATTCAAAATTATTTTAAAAGAATTTGAAAAGTTTAATTTAGTTTCAAAAATAAACTAAGCAATAGCAATTTGTAATCTTAATGAAAATACTGGATTTAATTCATTCGAATATATGATACATGCCGAAAAGAAGTAATCGAGCTGCTGCTAGATTCAATTATCTTGCTAGCTCTACTTACTAATGTTATTAGCTATTCTCCTTATTTATTAAATGTGTTTATAGGGTTGTATTGGAGTTCGAGCAAGCGGTTTACCACTTCATACCAACTCTTCTTCATCATCAACTTGCTCAAATACTGCTTTACAAGAAGTTAAACGTCCCTCAAGTCGTACGCTTCAATCAGCTGCTCATCAATTAAAACCATCAACTACTCTTTATCCACCCAAAAATAAAAGGTTACATACTGTTTAATTTCAATTTTTTGAAGTTTGCTAGTTAAAAAACACTTAAAATACAGATAAACCATCAAGTCTTATAATTTAATATATAAATTCACATCATTTCTGGCATTTATTTTATCATTCGAAAAATTTAAGATGAAAAAAAAAGTAGATTTTTCAAGCTTTATTTATCCTTTTTATAAATTTATTCAAAAACTCTGCCAATTAAGACTTAACTAACTAAATCAAATCGCTACAATTCATGAAATAAATTTCACTTGTACACTGATGAGATCATTAAGTAATTTGTTGTAATGCAAAAAATTGCAAAAAAAAAAAAGCATAAAAATCATTCAACAATCCATTAAGCAAAGAAAAATTTCAAACTCGTCTATTTCGAAGCAATGTGTGTTTTGAGAATTATACAAATTTCAAAAAACCATTGCAAAATCGAACGATTTTTAAAAAAATCAATTATCGTCTTCGATGAAAATTTTTTGCGACTTTCCAAAATTATTCAAAGTAAATGAATGCTAAAAAACAATTGCGTGAAAAAATAGTCATCAGATAGCAGATTAATGAAAATTATACATGAGAAGACCTGATTTTTAACATTTTTATGATTCGACATTGAATAATTGGTTCTCATTTGTTTGTAATATTTGACGTATTTAAAAGTGAAATTAGTAAATGGTATATGTGTGCAGATTGTCCAAGAGTTCTGAGGAAGATTCAGCTTATGCTGGTTTTGGTAGTTCCTCACCTCTTTCCTCGACTAAATCATCTTCCATGAGCCTCAATTCGACATCATCTCGAAATTCATCTAGCAATGATGCTACTGCAAACCATTCGAGAACTCGAACACCTTCTGCGCTAACGTTCCAACCTCTTGGTAGCAATCACCGATTTACTGGTGGAACTATTCAACCACCATCAAGCCCACATGTAAGCCATTTCACGTACACAACAAAATCAACTTGAGCAAATTTCAAAACTTTCTTTGCACTATTTGTATTTTAATCCAAACTATCATTCATTCAGTTTTGTGCTTGACTTCTTATCATGTCAATTCTTACATCAATTATCTAAAGCAAAACTAACATTAAAATTAGCAAGAAGATATGAAAAAATAAATTATTAATAATGAATAAACGAAATAAATATTTAGAATGAAGTTTGTATTGAAATTTTGATTTCTTTGTCTACATCTGTAATCTTATTTTTTCACTTATATCTCTCTTTTTTGATGACTTTTTTATGTATAAGCAGAAAGTGCCAAAATATTGTTCAATATGCATAAGATTATTTAATAAGATTTTTTCTTGTTTTATTATGACTGCAATTTTTTTTTATTTTTTTGCTCTTTCTTCATTTTTTCTCTTTTTCAAATTTTCAGTCAATTTTTAATAGTCCTAACTAAATCTTCTTTTTTTTTCTAAGATATATATATGTATATATATAGTAGGTTGAAATAAACTATTGCAAACTTTTACTTAGAATATAAAATGAAGCATAATTTGATTAATTGCTGTACGATAAAAATTTCCAAAATAGATTGAAATTTGTGTGTTTTATTAAATATACTAAATTATTTCAATCACTTCTGTAAAAAAAAGTAAATATAATTTTAGGTTTTCTTTCTCCTTTTGCCATTAAATTTATCAGCATAATTGCAAAACATTCATCAATAAATAAATGGCTCAAAAATTATTTACAGAAGATAAGGCTATATTTAGTGAAAGTACGCATGCAAAATGCAAATTCAAAAAGCATTTATTTAAAAATTTTTTAATCACTCTGAATTTTAATTAACAAAAAATGTTATGAGTGCTTTTGCATATAAATAATCAGTTTTTTTGCTTCATATTAATGCTAAAATATAGTTGTCTTTGATTCATAATCAGCAGCATTTTTTTTTTCATTCGCAACGATTTTCTCATTTTGTCCTACAAAACACATTTGTTTCAAATATTATTATTCAAATTCAAGCAGTATGAACGTGATTTTTATCTAATGTTACATAAAATTATATTTCTATATCATATTTTTTACCATTTTTTAAAAATAAAAATTTTGCTTTAGTTATTTAAAACTTTAAGTATGTTATCAATTGTATAAATAATGATAATAAGGAGAAAAATTGAATTAAGAATTTATCATTACAAAATAATTTACAAATATGAAGGATAATTTTTCACATCTATAATTAATTGCGCAAAGTTATTTATTCAGAGTTTATATTTTTTGTTCTTAAATCAGTGATTTAATCATTTGAAAAACAAACTGCATGAGAAAGTTAATAATGTCATTACAATCACAAAATTCGCATTTCTTTAAAGTCAGACGATCTTATTTCTTTGTCTTATAATACTTTTCTTTGCCATTGAATCTTATTTTTTGGTAACATATTTTGTTACAGGAATCGAAACCAGTTTTGGCAGTGAAAGGAATCTCAGCACCAAAAGTAATACGTTTGACTCCGCCATCAAGCAAGTATACTTCACCCAAGACTACAAATCCAAAAAATTCCCCCGTTACTGAATCCAGCACCAGTCCTTCTAAATGGCTAGATTTTAAATCTCACTCAACTCCAATAGCAACAAGCATAGCCACAGATCCTACTATTGCTACACTAACACAGTGTAAAACTGTTAATGCTACAGTTTCCTCACAAAGTCCAACAATTGGCGTCGTTAGTCCAATGATGAGCCATCGAGTCATGAAATTACCACAAAATATGAATACGAACACTGGTATATTATTTAAATATTTATATTAAAAACAACATGGAAACAATTTTTTATTTTTTTGTAATTTTTATCACAGTGAATATATGTAATTTGCCACAAAATTATCGCAATCTCTTTTTTTTTTTAACTTTTCAAAACTACTCCTAGAAAATACTCAGTAATATCTTATAAAAATATAAATGTGGTCTACTTTAAGCACTACTTATTCTAGATTGTGGTAATCAAAGTGATGCTTCAACCACTTCTGGTAGTCGTGACTCCGATAATGTGAGCGTGATATACAATCCTACTGATGAGGATAAATTACTTGCAACTTCTAGTTCATCTGAAAAAATGACATCTGATAAAAAAGCTCCGTATGTTAGCAAAAATCTCTTTAAAATATTCAAAAATTTATTGGACAGTTAATGTTATTTCAAATAAAAATTTTTATTAATAAGACACATATGATTTTATTTACTACTATATTAATAGTTAGATGTTTGCTTACAAAATAAATGTGCAGTTTTATTCTTAAAATAGTACAATTATTACTAAAAAATAAGACATAAATGTTGTAAATAGGAGAAGCGCATTTTATCGCTCAATTTACATTTTCATTAACAGTACAATGCAATAAGGCAACTTAAGTAAACAACAAAAAATGAGTAAAAATTATTGCAACATTCAGTGTATGCAATACAGACATTAATAGTACTTTTCAAGTAGTCTATTCACTTTACACTTTCTCATATTGGCATGACATTATCGTTGACCTTTTTGTTAAGCTACCAGTTGATTTTATTTGACCTCCTACTGAGTTATTTTTACTCAATAGAAATAATAATTTCAGGCCAGTGCCAATGAGAACAAATAGTCGTTTAGAGACAACTTTTGCTTCAAATTATGCTGTGACAACGGCAGAAATTACGGCACCTATAGCTAATACCCGTACACTTCCGGGAGTTACTGATCTTCAAGATATTTATCCTATGGAACCTATCATACCAATAATTCCACCACAACCTTATAATATTGGCGTAAGAAACAGTAGAACATCTCGACAAAATGTTCACTCAACAGGTGCTTTATAGATTTTGAATTTATTTTCTATAATGGACAAAAAAGCAAACTATTCATAAATATAATTTGCTATTTTACATCTAGTAAATTTATAGTTAAAAATAACCAGTTTTAGATAATATTTGTTTGTAGACATCGTAACAAAGCTATGTTATCATCAATCAACTGAACTGATAGTTTCGTTTAAGTTTCAATGTATAATCGAATTACAGTAGAAAGCCTACAACCAAAGCATAAACTTGGGAATTCGAATTTATTAATTTGAAAATCGCAGCCCTTAAGTTAAATTGATATAATTTCCTTTTGTTTTTAATAAAATTTTGGACAACAATTCGAATAAGAAATATTTTACAACGAATTTCGTATTTTAAATTGATAACTTTAAAATGGTAAAAAATATTTTGCTATTTTAAAAAGTACTAAATGAGAGTACTTTTCAAAAATTATCTTATCTATCTCACTAATTCTATGTCTCAGACAATAATAAAGTATTAAAAAGCTCCATCTGTTTAGCTACTTATAAAAAATATGCCTTATGTGAGAAAATATTCAACTAGGTCTTCCAAATTATCTTTTTTCTAACTAGCTTTTGAAAAAAATTTTTCACATATTAATGCATCAATATCAACAATGAAAATTTTTCGTTCGCAGATTTTAGATATGAATTAACTAATTAGTAGAATCTTAAGCGTCAATATTTTTCATACTAAAGATAAAGGATTATTTTTGAATACAAAAATATAGAAAGTATTAAAGCTCATGAAAGTGTGAAAATTTTTTTACCGCTCAATTCATTTTTAATTACGTATTTTGGCATAATTTTGATGCAAACCGACCAAGTTAAACAAATAATTAGCAATAAAAATTAGTCATATTTGCACAGTTTAAGCCTTAATTCAACACAATTATTGGTAAAAGAATTAAAAATGATGCGTTTGCTTGGTGTGAAAGAAAAATGTGCAATTTTTTTACTAAAATATGCTTTCGATATTAGTAGATTAATTACTTTTTTCTCCTTCACTATTTAAATTATTTAAGATCAGTACTCAAAATGTGTTTTGTATATTAGCAAAATGTGTAATGGACATTTAGTATAGGTCACCTGGCGCATTATCATTTTGACAGACATAATTTAGTTATAAGTTGCAACAGGTGCATAAGTAATGCTTTTCCTTTCTATCATTAACAAATTGTTGATTTACGCTTGTTTTGTATTAATTTTTAATCTTTCATTGTCATCAGTTTATTAGAAAAATTTACCTGCGTTATTACTAATTTGTTTTACAATTGCATTACACAACAATCCTATTTCAAATAAATTTTGCTAAAAATTTTAAAATTTCATATTCTATTAATGATTTTTTTTGTAGCCAATTAAATTTTTTGTTGATTTTTTTGAATCGTTACTTGTTATTTTAACTACTGAGTTTTGCTTTACCAAAATTGTTTAATACATTATTTAAGAAATAAAGTTTGAGCTTTATTATTAGTTGAAGTCTTGTGGTAAATTATAATGATCAACGTGATTTATATCAATTTCAACTAACAGCAAAATATATTTATTTGCTGTGAGATTCATATTCACAGCAGCCGTAGTGTTTTGAATATTTGTTGTTTTCATTTGCTTATCATGTTGAATTATGACAAAGAGAATATATATATTTTAGTTATATTTATTTATATTTATATTTTCTCACTAATATTTTTCATCTAAATTTAAAAATAATTGACTAAAAATTTTATTTTGGCTTTAATTCAAAAAATTTTGTGTCAAGAAAAAAAAATGTCAAGCAATCTAAGGTAATATATAAATACTGTTGACATTGCAAGTATTATTGCCACAGTTGTTAGCATTATTTTGTTTATTTCTGGTGAGTAGGCGTAATTTCTCATGGATATTTGATATGTCTATATAATAAATAATGAGTCTCAACACAGTTATATGACTGAATGTACATGAGAGATTTAGAAAAAAATCAGAATCTTTGCTTAATTTTAGTCTTTTAGGATCTCTTCGAGACAGTTCAACTAGTGACGATTCTCTCGATTCTATTTCAACAACCATTCGATGTGCAGCACCTCATCGTCCATCGGGATATTTTTCCGAGGGAGAATCACTCTGTACTAGTAACATCGCACTTCCTGAATTATCAGTAGCTGGTATGTATCACATATGATAGTGAATAAATTTTGCCTTTATTTTTTCACTTACATGACAACTTTTACTTCATATATTTGGAGAAAAAGTTTGATATCTATGCTTACTTTTTGAAAATATCGCTAGTTTGTTTACTTTTTAAGTTAAATGGAGCAAATTTTGGATACGTTCAACAAAGCTTAACTTTCTTCTGTAATCACTAAATTGAAATTGTAATTACTAAAATCACACAATCATCTTCATAGTCATCACTTTCTTTAAGTTTTGATTTTCTTAAAAATATAACATTCACTGATGAGATTGTCTCAAAAATTACACATCAAAATTTAAAAGTAGTGATAATAATAATAATAATAATAATTAATATTAATATTAATAGCAGCATTGAGAGTGTGGAGGTGTTTTCATGTATTTTATCATTCTAATCTAATCTAATCTAATCTAATTAAGAATGATTGTTTTTAATTCATTATTAAAGTACTAATTAAAAAGTTAAAAAAATGGAATGAATTTCATAGAAATCAAAAACATTCATTTCAATGCTTTTTTGTGCTATTTTGTTTTATAAAAAAATTGACACACACAATACGAAATGCAAATGCAAGCAAGCAAGCAAACTCTCTATTCTTCTTCTGATATACTCACTCTTACAACACAGTCGTTCATTACCTTGGAATACTTTTTTCTTCCACTTTATTTGATGTTTCCCGCATCATTATCGCATTTTTTTTTACAGTTAAAAACTGTAATTACTGAAATTCCGCAGTTTTTTTCATAGCCAAAGTTATTATCTTTTGCTACCAGCAAAACACATCTTAGTATCATCACGATTCAAATGCTGCTGCTGCTGCTGCTTGCTTGCTTTCTACGTTTGATTTATTTGCTTGAATTAATCGAAATCTTACTAATATTTAATTTTTAAGAATAATTTTGAGTTTGAAAATAATTTATAAAGATTTCTTTTATAAGTATACAGTAACTCTTTTAATTAATAGTACTGAATTTTCAAGTTAAAGATAGCAAAATGCATATTAATCTTTAATGATCTGGAAAATTTGAATGCAGTTAGAAAAAAGTAAGTAATTTTTACTTGGTAATGGCTCCTTTTATGATTCTTTTTCTTTGCTTTGTGTTTAATAATTCTGATAAAATCCTCTCTTGACCTTTTAATTGAGCATAGCATTTATGCTGAAAGGTTATTTTAGTACCTTTTAACATGCAAATTGCACAAAAAGTACAGATACATAAATAGCAATTTTTTACATCAGTAATGAAAATAATGTCCTATCTTTCCAGGTCACTGCTGAATCTTGCATTAATTTTTGATTTCTTTTGGATGGAAAACACATTTTCTAAATTGACATGAAATTTGAATATATTTACTCCTTGAAAACTTTAGAAAATACTTGAAGATGAAATGTTGTCGAAGTTCTGCTTATTTGCCACTCCTGTTGCAAATTTTAAAAAAATTATTTTTTCTAAAAAAAGAAATTTGAAATAATGCTCATTTCTGACTCTATTTACCATAATAACAGTTTTATATTTAAAAAAAATCAAGTTCTTAGCCCTAATTCTATCCAGTTTTGAGTGAGAAAGTAATTTTTTCTTTCAGCAAATTTAAATATTAATCAGTTCATTAATTTATTGAAAAAAAATGCTGATATATTAAGTTTAACTGAATTTTAGATGTGAGTAATGGTTATATGAGCGAAGGTGGAATAACTGTATACGCTCGTAAAATGCAAGCGCGTTTTAAAGAAGGTTTAGAAGCTGTACGTGACTCAATGCGTCAGCGAAATCATGACTTCAGCGATAGGTTTGTTCATCAGTTTACTTATTTAATCAATTTCAAATTTCAAATTAATTCCAGTACTTTCCTATTCTATTATTGTACGTAACATTTTCATACTTTTCTTGCAGTAAATTTTTTCATTTTCGCAAGCTGCATATTTTATTATATATATCAAATTTTCTTTAAACTTCATTGTATTGAAATACGAAAGTTAATAGTCAATTAGCTGCTAAATTATCTTGAAATCTTATAAAATTACAGAGTTACCAAAATAGATTTGTTTTGTAGCAAATTTTTTTGATTCAAAAATTAATGAATTTATCAGTTTATTGTAAGAAATGTCAAAAATTATGTTTAGTTGAATTTTAGATCTGAACAATGGCTATATAAGCGTTGTATTCACAAAAATTCCTTTTATCAAGTTGATTCAGAAACCTATGAAATTATTTTGCCATCTTTAACATGCAGAATCAGTTTTTTCTTTTTTCCTTCTCAGATTTTCTTCACTAAAAGCACTGAAAAGCACGAAGAATCTGAAAAACGAAATCACTAATTTTCATTAACTGAAAGAATCAAAACTTCATTAAATAGCTATTGACGATACAAATTTATCATTCAAAAATACTCCTATATTGTCGTTATTAAAAAAATACAACAGAATTATTATCATTAAAAAGCATATTTTAATATGAATTCTAATCTTATCATTATATTAAGCTATTTGTACCCAATTTTTTAATTTGAAAATTAAAATATGCTTTTTTAAGTAATTAATTATTCTTCTGTTATCTAATAATACATTTACTGTAATTATATAATGGCTGGAGACACGTGCCAGAAAATTAGGCTGCTTGCTAACTGACCTCGTAAGAGTTCAAAACTTGGATGTGCTTTAATAGTGTGTGTTTAAATGACCAAATTGAAATAGATTCTCAATGAATATCTACTCAACTACAGTAAATCTTTTCATAAAATTTAAAAAGACTGTCAGAATGCTGCATATTGCTTTTCTATCTACTCTTCATGTTCACACACTAAAGACAGTTTGCTTATTTACTTTGTTTTGTTTTCTAAGCAAATGTTTTTTTTGTATTTACTCCTTTCGATTTCTATTTCAGTGAATGCTACTTTTGAATTACATTACAATTTTTGATATTTTTAAAAAAATGCATGGAATTGCATTGCATTTAGAATGAGGACAATTCAAGAAGTCTAAGTCTCTCAAGAACTCCTCAAAAATAATGCTAAATTTAATAAATTTTTTATATTTATGCAATTTCAATATTTCTTTTTTTTACTAGCTTGAGTCATTTCTAAAAAATAAACTTGAAATATATATATATATATATATAAGTATGCATAATTATGTTTGAATTTTTCTTTGCTATGGAAATAAATTTGACTGCAAAATATTTTTTGTATAAATAAAAGATGCTTTTTTAATTCACAAATTCGAGTGCAATATTTCAAATTTAAAATAGCTTATATTTTATTAATTGCTGGCAGATGTTTGACAGAATGATTCAATTGAATATTTCTTACTTAAATTATTATTTTTTGTTCTGGTGACTTCAATTTTATTCAATTTTCAATTTGTTACAAAGGGATAACGTTTATTGTATTTATAATACTTTCATATTCCATCGTTATTTACCTTTATCATTATCAGTAACACTTGAAAAGTATTTACTTGGATTACTAAACTTCTGTACTTTTATGTTTACTCTTTCACTACTAACAAGTAAATAAATAAATAAATAAATAATAAATAAATAAATAAATAAATAAATAGCATTAGCGTTTCAGCTACTTTGTATTTAAATTAAGTCATTGCTATAAAAAGCTAATAGCAATTACTGTTTTGAATATCAAAAATTGTATTTGTTTCTCTTCGATTATTTTTATAAAGATTTATGCATATTTGTGTCAAAGTATCAACAAAATTTTAGAAATAAAAATAAGTTCAGTACTACGCTTAGCTGATTAAATGTTACATAGATGCAACAATTATTTGATGAATGGGAAATGAGATAAATGTTTGTCATGCAGTAGAAATAAATTGTGGTATTTACAACGAGTAAATATTTCACTGTGAGAGTAAAGTTAGTCTTACGGTAATTAATATTTAGGATTTGACAGGGATATAAGTAAGTAATCTTACAATATCTTTTAAGCCTAAAAAAAGATTTTTGCTAAGATATTACTTACTCTTAGCTTTAACCAAATATTGTGCTTATGTGACATAAATGATTGAATTTCAACTATGAGTCATCGTTTACTTGATTGAAGGCTTGAAATGCCGAAAGAATTGCAATTGTGACTCTTTTGCTAGCAAAAGTGGTACTGGTCAGTGACCTTGATATTACTTAGCTATGGTTAAAATAAATGTTCAAAATTGTATCATATATCTATGTCTCATGCTTGCAGCTGCAATTGTCATGATTTTGTTGCAAGAGAATGCTTAACGATTAACATAAATTATAAAATTTTGCTTAACTTTTTTTTGAGATGTGCTTACTTTCTTTTTCTTAAGATTGTAATTAAATTATACTTCAGCACAAAATTTCAAAAATTGTATTTACTTCAAAGAAATGCTATCATTTTTATATTCATTTTGCTATAAAATGCTCAAGTTTTTATCACTGATTATTTATCTGAGATATAGGATTTTTTTAAATTTAGTTTGAGGCTGTTTAAAATTGTGACATATATTAAGAATGTGTGAGTTAAACAATATTTGAGAGAAGAGAAAAACTCATTCAATAATTAATGCTTTAAGATCTGACCCCATTGTTTATTTTTCCATAAAAATACATAATTTATGCAAATTTTCAATACTGAATTAACTAGATGATACCATTAAAATGAATGAGTTAGAAATGCTAATCTAATAGCAATTATATTGTTTTATTTCAATTTTTTACAATAACTCATATTTTAGCTGTTCGGAATTATTTAAAAAGAGAGAAAGTTTTTAAGAATAGAATTTTACAACATTTATGTAATAACTACTGAGCAAAATTGTCAAAACTTTTTGATATTACACTGTTTTGTTTGTACAGTCCAAATAGTTAAGGCAGAAAATTATAGTCATTGAATTTCTCATTAAGGATAATTTGCATATAATAATTATATTGTATACAAGTAGTTATTCCTAACGAAATGTAATTTACAAACTTAAAGACAAAATTATAAAATTGCTTGTTTATTTTGCACTCACTCATCTTTGCATTTAATAAATTTCTTAATTATCATCATACTGCATGATTAACTGCATTTTTGTGTTTTCCATTTATAAAATTACCTAAATCTACATATATGCAATATATGGTATTCTTTTTATTCAAATGTTCATTTTAATTTTGCATTAAAATTTATGCAAGGACGATTTGTTCGAAACTTTTTTGCATTGTTCGCAGCATATATTTCATTCTTTTTTGATAAATTAAACGGTTTACAAATTTTGAAGACAAAATTTGAAAAATTCAATATTTTTTATATTGCTGCCAACTTGCACAATATGTAGACATGAATAAAACTAATGCAAAAAAGTTTTTGCAAGAATACTCATAACGTGCAGCATTTTTTGTTCAACAAACCCATTCATCGCAATTATTAAATGATGTGCAAACTTTTTTCAATATTACACTAAAATTTGTATCGAATGTGTAAATGTTTGCTCATAACTTATTTCATGCTTAAATGCCATGTATTTCAAGTCGGTTCCTTCAATGAAATTAGCATGAATCATTTTGGCATAGGCGGAATTCATAAATTTGAATAATAATTCCTAAAGCATACATCAAGGGAGGCATAGGATTTAATAAGGGTCAGTCACTTATATGTATATAATAAACAAATTGAGTTCATATCACATCCAGTGGTAGCACTTGCTTGCTGTTCATTTAATTCATCTCTCTAGTTAAGTATGCTATAACGGTTGCATGTAATATTCTAATTCAATTTTTAAGCAAATAAATAATTTTACGTGAAAGTCAAGCATAGGTATGGAATTTTGAAATGGCGTACTACTACTATGTTGCTTGTGTACATATCGTTAGGAATAACTACTTGTATACATGTTCAACTTTATACAAATTGAAACTCAATACTACAAATTTTATATGAAACTATTGACCTTTAATATTAATATCTCTGAGGTTATTTAATTATTCATAATAAACTAATATACTCTATGTTTATGGTAAATAATTTTAATGACATAGTTTGTCTACAAAATTATATGAAATTTTTGAATGGTAAGGAAATGCAAAATTATTCTGAAGTATAAATTGCTCTTAAATTAGTTTAGCTTAGAAAGATAATATATGCCTGTTATTGCATTCAAATTAGATGTAATCAAAATGCAACAAGAATAAAGCTCACCAACAAGCAAACACGATTACTAACTACTGCTTGATGACTGCTCTACAACTGTGCATATTTTGTGCCTTTACATAAATCACTATTTATTTTCAGGTTTGATTAACCTAAAAAAAAAAAGAAAACAAGTTCAGTCAATTTGACCTCTAAATTTCCTTTTTATTCCTCTTTATGTTATCTGAAAGTAATATTTTTACAAAAAGTAATTAACGCGATAAATGGACCGATTGTAATCGTTATCATCATTCAATCTGTTCTTGAGACTCTCAGTATTTGCTAAAAGGTCATGGCAAGTAAATTGATATTGAGTCTAAATTAACTATATGTAATGACAGTATTTGTTACAACAAGAAATGTCTAGTTTCGCTGTTTAATCTGAAACCAATTTTCTGATTGAAATTTTTACAGTACTAATTTATGTATTTACTTAAATAAAAATACAAATATTTTATTAGAAATTAAAAAATCAAAGTTAAAAATCGACGAAAAAAAAAATAGTAGAGTTTGATTTTATCTAAATTCAAATCATTGTTTTGTTTTCATGTGCAATAAAATATAAGTGCATACGTTGATTAGCTAAAAGTATTGTGCCATTTTTTGATGATAAACAATTTCACAGCTAATTTCAGAATTATACTAAAATTTACGCACATTCACATGCATTATTTAATATTTAACATTGTCAATTTTGTTCAGTTTTTTCGTAGCAGTTAAATTGCCTTA